TTTAATTGTTATTCATATGGTATATTATTAAATTTTTATTTAAAATTTAAAATTTTAAAATAAAAATAAAATTAAAATTAAGATAACCAAAATCAACGAAACAGAGTACAGCCTTAGTAGAGTGCCACATAGAAGTGAAGAAATAGAAAAGTACCCCTGGAGTCTCTTTTTAGTAATTTTAGTATAATTTTTTAACATTTTAAATATGAAATTTAAATAAAAATTTAATAATTTATATAAATAGTAATTAAATTTTTTAATCTAATTTTGTCTATTATTTTTATTTGATAAAAATATTTAATTATTATTTATATAAATATTAAATTTTTATCTAAAATTTGTATATAAAATTTATTTTTTCAAATAATTAATAAGAATTAAATTTACTGTCAACGACTTAAATAATTCAATAGACATCTTCTTACACTGGAAGTAAGAGACTCTGAGTTTTAGTCGTATAATATGCAAGTGGGATGAGATAAGAAATGAGAGATGGCTGTTTATCATTGCGTAACTAAAATAAAAAATAAATAAATAAAATTCACTAATGACCTGTTGATTTAAATAAAAAAAATTTGATTTTTTAAAATAAAATTTTAAATTCAAATCTTATAAATAGAAAATAAAAGTTAATAAAGTTTTTTTTTTATAAGATTTCACGTAATTTAATTTTAAATTAATTAAAATTTAATATAATTATTATATATCAAAAAATTAATATAAAAAAATTAAAATTGAATTCCTTACTAATTAAATCTAAACACTATTGCTTAAAAACGAATTGGGACTGAAGGCTGGGTTGGAAGTGGAGACAGTCTTAGACAACTTTTTAGTGCAGAATTTCATTTTCAAATCAAAATCCGTGTTTCTTTTTTCCACTATTTTCTTGTCTCACGCCTGTGCATACCCACCCCATTGGCCAAGTCCAGCCGCCATGAAATGGATTGCACATTTATTACTCTAATTAGACATTCCTTTTTAGCCACGCGCCTTTAAACCGACGGCAAAGGGTCTTCCCTGTTTCTCTCTGTCTCTGTTCGCGTGAAAATCAGAAGACACTCAAAACGCACTTTGTTATTCTCTTTTTTTTGTTTCCTCTTTAAAGGTCTCGCTGCAACGCATTCTTTTTTTATCCGATTCTTCCTTCGCCGACGAATTTCTCCCATCTTTATCTCCGAAGTCGATACTGAAATTTCAGGTTTTCACCCGGTCAGTTCATGTTCGTCTCAAGTGACTCTGATTTTCAGTTCCTTTTTTTGCTTGAATCTCTGTAATCTGGATGAAATCTCGAATCAGATTTCCGTGCCTGTTTGTGTTCTGAGTTGCTTATCTCTAAAGTTGTGAGTAGATTTCTGTTTCTTTTTTTCATGCTGTTTGGTTCTTGAGAAAGTTAGGGAAAACGAAAGGAAACCTGTTGTTTCAGTAAAGTCAATTCTACTGAATTGCTGGAGTAGGCTTAGTTGAGTTCGAGGCTTTTGTTTGTTTATCTGTCTGTCTGTCATCTTCTATCTTCATTTTCGCTTCTTTTTTTTTCTTTAATTTCTGTACTTCATACACACGTGTCCATACTGATTATCGTGTTTGTTTTTGTTTTGACCTGAATTAAGTGTTGTCAAGCGTGGATTTGTTTTGGTTTTTTCCTCTCTTTTTTTAATGCTGTTTGGTTCTTGAGAAAGTGGGGGAAAAATGAAAGGGAACTTGGTAAAGTGGATTCTACTAGACTTAGTTTGAGGCCTTTTTTGTTTGTTTGTTTACTTGGTATCTTCTATCCTCCTATTCTTTGTTTCTTTTTTTCCTTTTATTTTTTTGCTTTTGATGGTCAATGTTTAGTCTCCTTTTCATTTTCCTTCTGTTTCTTAGCTTCCAAACCAAGTATATAGGGAAATTTTTTTTTTTTTTTTCAAGGAAACCTACATTTATGCTTTGCTTTGTTTGATGTTTGTATGTATTTGCAATAATTACCTGTCCGTGTGTTATATTATTTTAAATACATTTAAAGCTAAGGCTCATTTCACTACAATTGGATTCTCGTTTTTAAACTTTTTTCCTACAGTATTAGTTAGTTTATCTCGTTTATTCGCATGCTAGATCAATTGGATTTTACAATTCAAGTGTAAAATTGGATTTGATATAATGAATTGTAATATAACTTTCATTACATTCTTTTTATTGTATATTTATATTCTGAATTTTTGTTGCCAGCCTTTTATTTGTATAATCTTTAATTTCCTTTTTGCTTTTGGGTATTAAATTTTTTTCATTTGTCTGGAAAAATAGTGAAAATGCCGGAGATTCAGTTGGGCATTCACACCATAAGGTCCCATGGAGCAAAAGTTGCGAGAGTTCACATGCATGACTGGTTGATTCTTCTGCTTGTTATTGTAGTATTTATCATTTTGAACGTTATTGGACCATTTCACCGTTTTGTTGGAAAGGATATGATGACAGACCTGAGTTACCCCATGAAAGACAATACTGTTCCCTTCTGGGCTGTTCCTGTATGTTCTGACTTTGAGATATAGTGTCCTACTGGATTAAATTTTTTGCATGTAGGTGTTTTTTGAGATTCACATTCAAGATAATAATACTTATATTCTTTTTCTTCTGTGTTAACAGATGATTGCAATATTGCTGCCTTTTTGTGTTATTCTTGTCTACTACTTCATCAGAAAGGATGTCTTTGATCTGCATCAAGCCATATTGGGTAC